AAGATGAGTGTAGAGCTAAAGGAACAGTCAACTGTTTGCAAATAAGCATCAAATGGTGAAAGAATTCCCTGGTAGTCAAACTGGATTACAAGTTTTGTATTGATGCAACATACAAATTATCACAATGTCTATGATGTGGCATGCTATAATATGGCAGTGCTGTGGAATGGAGGTGTTCCACCTGGTGTTCCACCCAGTGCCACCCATTGGAAAATCAGATAGAAAGTAAAGCTGCCAAAATCATTAAATCAGTCTTACTCTTTTTGACAATCTTCATTATTGTATTTTTCTAAATTCTACTGTAATATTTGAACTGTGATTTGTTTTCTTGGTGCTGAGGTTGTATTGGTAGGATCTACATCTAACGTACATTGGCTTATACCATGCACAGGCACCTGGAGTTCTTAAGTTACTAACCAAGTAATTTAACGTGATGACTTTGTATCTGAATTTTGCCTTTTAGAAAGCTTGTTTAAACACCTGGGAACTCATGTCCCAGGTTTCAGATGCTATTTCACTACTGTTCCTAGGTGTACTTTCAGCTTTCTATCCTTAAATGTGTTAATTTACTCTCTAAACCTTTCTACCATGCTCCCATTCTTTAAGACAGTCCTTAAAAACGTCCTTGATTCAGTTTCTAGTGACCCAACATAGATGTGGAGCCCAGTCTCAAATGTTGCCCAGTAAAGACTTTGTTGAATAAATTGTGGTAACTTACTGGATTGAAAGTGCTGTATAATTGTATGCAGCTATTGATTCAAATTGATTAACAGTAACCCCACTCACAGTGCCAGGTTCCCATGGTCCTGAGGCCAAGACATTGACTGTGAGGGTCCTGGAAGTCTCCTGTTGATTCCTCACTTCCTCAAACATCTGCTCATTCTATCCACTTCAGGTTCGGAATTGACATGTCTGAGTTTGACAAACAGCTCACTGAGCCACTCAAGTCTTTCCTTGGTTGGAGAAAAATGTATAATGGCAAATGAGAAAAAGGGGAAGGAATTGGAGAGAATAACTCAAATACAGTGGTATTTGAAAATAGTTTCATGCATATATTTTATTCAGTGATAAGCTGGAATAATATACACCGGTGAATACACATTACAGACTGTGAATTAGTATTTACATTGAGTTGATAAATAGAAGTTAATTGCAAGTCTCAAGGGAAAACAGATGGAAAATCCACATCCTCTTGGGTTCTATACAGTTTTATACTTATGATTACAAATAATATAACAGGTTTTATTTTCAAAAATAATAGGAGTTTTATTTGGGTGTTTTTCTGGGTCACTGAAATGCAAATTCATCCCAGTCTTCGGTGAAAAGGATTGACATTTCCATCGCTTCAGACCATCAGTCCACTAAAATTGATACTGGTACAGACAAAACATTTATTTAGAAGTTTAACCTTACCAAAAAGAAAAAAAAGCATGCATTATATTATACGGAGGCGATCTTTTTTGTCAATGGCAGAGGATTAGCTGTTAGAAGGTTCTTCCATGAGCAGAAGTTTCCTGTCTCCTATATTATTTGGCATTAATGTCACAATTTGACTTTCTGCTGAAATCAGTGAATCCCTTGACTGTTGTTACAAGGATTTTAGTCAAACGGGAAATTGTTTATATTTTGTCCACTCTAATAGTAATTAAAACATTTATAACACAATAGTGGGTTTTACCATTTTGTAATTGGAATGTGTCTGGAGTTATATAACATAAAGGTGATTCGGTCAGAGGTCCCGGTATGGTAGTAGTGGGAATAATTTGAAATGATGAATCAGGAGTAACACCAAGACACATAATGCACCAAATTCAAACTGTATTGGATTGAGTATGATGCTTCCTAAAGTAGATTAGTATCAATGGGATAAAATACAATAAATAAGAATACTTACCTTTGATAAATTGGAACCCAACCCATTAAATTTACTTCCAAATCTTTGTTGTGTAATCATTAACTGGATCCAGTTACAGCTTCACTCTTGAGTTCCAATGAAAGTGACTACAGGTTGAACTTGAGATAACCAATCAAATGGAAGATCTATACCAACATTCATCTTGAAATGCTAATACTGTGCATAATTCAACTCTTATTCTCAGCCACTTTATTTGCTGCCCATATACATTACTATATACATAGATATACATTAAACTATTAAATTTATTTCTATACATTAAATCAGCTGTAAGCATCTTTAACTTGCTGCTATTTTTAATTATACTTTGAATACTTTGTGTCCGTGTACTCAGAATGAAAACCGAGCTCAAAGAGGACTCACACTTAAAAGCTTAAACACAACTTCATAGATTATAGCTTTTTTATATGTTATTTCTTTAAATGTTAGAAAAATAATGTATATGTTATCTTTAGGAAGCACATATGTTATGTTAGAGTTAATTGCAATGATATGCTTGAACTTAAAATAGTGTCCTCAGATTTATAGAAGCATAAAAGCTAATCTTGAATCCTACCATCACCCAATAAACAGTTTGCCAAAAATTTGATTGGCAAACATTGAATCTTAGGGTTTTTAAAAACAATTATTCTGTGGTGTTTAATCTGAATGTAAGTACTGGCCATTTGTGCTTTTCGAACAAAAACAACAAGATTGGATAAAAGCATCCAGTTGTATTAACTGAGCAGTTTACTTTGCACATGCTACATTGGCATCTTTTACAAAATACAGTCTGACACTTGACAGACTATATGCAAACACTGGGCAAACTATTCACACGCATGTTGACTGGACTTCTTTAAAAAATCATTCTCAGGATTTGGGCATAACTAATAAGGTAAGCGTTTATTACCCATTACTCATTGTCCTGCTAAGTCAGTAGTAAGCTTTCATTTAACATGTAAGTTACAACAGACTCTTAACAAGCCCTTAGAAACATGGGGAAAGAAAGGATATCTCACCTATGATAGCCTTGACCTCCTTATCATTTACCAGTCAATAACAATAGATTCTCAGGCTGCTACTATTGCTTCACTGTGTTCATTAAGATTCAAAATCTTGCTGTTACTTTCATTCTAATAATACTGTATAGGTTAAAAATAAATATCCATAACTTTTATTTACAGCAATAATCTTCGAGCCTATTTCTTCATTAGCATATAGTCAGTCAGAAAGGCACCAAAAAGCAATTAAAGAGTTACATTCCACTTTTGTTTAAAAATCAATACAGTGCATCGGGATGTTTTTCTACATCACCGGCGCTATATTATTGCAAGTTGTTGCAATAACAGTTCACATCAACCTCAGATCTAAAGAACTCCAAGAAAGGAAACAAAAAGTGCTGATGGATTTGGTGATCTGAGTTACTGTTACTTTCCCTGTTATTTTGTGGCTTGTCCCCAATTCTCCAAAACAAAAACAAAAGGCAGCTTGATACATTTACAATTTTTGCAGTGTAATGGCACTGGATGGCTGACTGTGAATGTAATTTGGATGGAGTGGTCCATCTCTGGAAGGTTTTCTATTGAAAATTACATCCACAAAATGATGTTTACAAAACTTCAGGGTGGACTGCTTATTGAATCTGTAGTAGATACACAACTCATTTAGGTCAGAATTATTTAAATTCATGTCTAATAAAAAAATACATATCAGAAGTTCTTTTATGAATGTAAAATTAATGTTAATTTGAGAAACACATAATTCTGCATAGATCTCAATAAAATTCACATTGCGGTAGGAAAGATAAGAATTATAGAGTCATAGATTATTATAGTGAATTATTTTTGAGTTTCTGTTTGTGGCCATGTGGAGCAATGACTTGGGTGTCTGGTCATGGAAAATGAATGGGAGGTCAGTCTTGCTGCAGCTCTGTATGTGGTCTCTTTTGGCTTTATTTATTGCTGGGGGGAGGGCGGGGTCAGCAGCTTTGGAGCCCCACCTCAGATAAGTAGGCTCCTCATTCAGCTAACCACATTGAGTGGGACATGGTGGTATCTAACCTGCACTGCATTTCCCAACATTTAGGTGGGAAGACCAGTGATTCTAAAGAGCTCTCATGTCAATCAGCAGCTCACCAATATCAAAGGAATCAACTATGTGATTGGGGATTTTAAAGGCCTGTAGCAAATGAATTTTAGTTGTCTTATTTCATAAATATTTTCACTCATTAATGCTCAACTTATTTATTTATTGATGGCTTGCAGGCATTTAAACTCTCGAGTTTTTATGCCATTGTTCATTTCTGGTACCAATATTAATGGATTTCTCTTAATGGGACCACATGACTTCTCCCTACTGTCTGTCATTATTTGAGAGAGGATGAGGGTCTAGAGACAAGTCTGAGCGTACACTGGCAATTTGTGCCTTCACAATGGGACCCTGGCATCAACAACTGCTGACAGAGATGCTTTGGTGGCACAATTATTGCATGAGAAGGCTCCTCTGTCTGAAGGAAGATGGGAGATTAGACCCAGTACTGTCAAGGTTTTCTGAATTTTGGCCCCAATACTTTGTCATATCAGTTTAAATTTCCCACTTATGCACTAGCATTTTTCTCCAATCCCCGGGCAGTTTCCTCCACCAGTTTAGATTTGCATCTGAAGTTATGCAAATGAGCTAATCTGGTAAAACTCTCTTCACACAATCTATGTCTTTTTGAGTCTGTCTTAAAATCACCACCAGTCTAAATTCTAACAATTCTGGGAAACCTAGGCTGGGGGATTTCATAATCTGAAAACATCTGTTTTTCACCAAATATTTCACATAATTCCTTTACTGATTCATGGGATCAGGGTGTCGCTGGCTAGGCCAGCATTTATTGCCCATCCCTAAATGCTCCGAGGGCAGTTATGTGTCAACCACATTGCTGTGGGTCTGGAGTCACGTGTAGGCCAAATCAGGTAAGGATGGCAGTTTCCTTCCCTAATGGACATTAGTGAACCAGATTTTTTTTTTCCCTGATAATTGATCCATGGTCACCATTAGACTCTTAATTTCCAGATGTTTTTTGATTGAATTCAAACTCCAACATCTACCATGGCGGGATTTGAACCCACGTCTCCAGAACATTATCTGGGTCTCGGGATTAACAGTCCAGTGATAATACCACTAGGCCACCATCTCCCCACTAATTGCTTGTAATTAAGTCGTAAATCAGTGAATTTACAAATGCCGCGGATAAAGAGAAAGGAAATCCAGTAAAACACATTGTATGTGAGCCATATTGCCATTTGATATCAGATTGACTTAGTGGGAGCTGGGCGTGGAATGCTTGATTTTCTTAATCTTGTGCTTATCAGATGTGTGCTGGTGTTACGTCTGGAGAAATGAACACTCCCTAAGTTTGCATGTCCAGTGTAAGCGTCAAGCATTCCTAGGTCAGTCATTGCGGATTTCAATTCCTCCACTCTGCCTCAAACTCAACTTCAGAGGAGCAACTCTTTACCGCATCAATATGGCATTTTATCAGTCATTCTCTGGACTCAAACTGGGATGGCAATTAAATAGAAAATTAGAGGTGATTTTGTGCCATGTGCCCATGTGCACCAAGTATTGTAGTTACCAGTTTTAGAAGACTGTTCTTTGTAATGAACAGTACTGTCTGTTCCAGTTCAGACACTGGATGGTTAATAGTAGTTTCAATGCCTGACTAATTTCTTCCTGGCAGTGATACAGCATTTTATCATTGTATTTATTAATATAAACAGTGTGTGCAAAGGCAGTCCAGGAGTTTGCATTTGATGAAAGAGAGTCTTGTGAAACAGATCACAGTGTAAAATCCATAACATTCTCCCAGAATCTCTTCACTCTTGTCATCTCTCCTTCTTTTCACACAGTCTCAACTTTGCTGGGATCATAAACATCTGGAAAACAGAAATAATCTGCCGTAAAGAAAATTATGTCAGCATCTGTTTCACACTTAATTCTTATAGCCCTAAGCTTGTGCAGAGTACAGCCTATGTAATCCTATGTTATATTATTCAATGTATATGTTTAAGCCAGTGTGGAATGATGTTCCTATGTGAAATATCCATGTTATGCACATATAATTAACATATGGACCCAGTGAAATGCATTGTCTATTCTTCTGCTTCAAAATCAGTAGGGACAGGTATAAACTGTCTCTGATTAAGGCTCCCAGCTTTTCACATTCCTTGTCAGCTCAGTTTAATTCTTATGCACTGAGGCTTCTTCCAGTGGCTCCCACACTTGGCAGAATGGACAAAAGTTAGGATGAGGATTTATTTTAATTGTGGTACACAGTAGATAAAATTGTGTATGCACAGTGCTTGCGCTAAATTAAGGAGGGGTCCCGGATTAAGCTCCAGTTTCAGTTCAAACTGTTCTCCCACTTATATGGAATTAATCAGGGTGTAGGATCTGAAGGAAAGCTTAAAATAATTTTCTCACTGCTGCATACAAGTGAGGTGTGTCTGGGTTCAAGGTAAAAGTATTATTGATGTGGACTTTAGTGAGTTAATTGTAATCAGTAATAAAACACATGGCTGTAAGTGTACAGATGAGTGAAAAATATCAACACTCTGGGATGTGTCTAGATATTCACTAGTAGACTTTTTTGTTGATGCATTAAACATATTGATCCAACACAAACATAATCTCTGTCGAAGTTGCATCTATGACTGTTATGCTTAAATTCACTCACGGGATGTGAGTCTTGCTGTATAGACAGCATTTATTCCCCATCCCTAATTGCCAGAAGGAGTTAAGCAAGTGGTCAAAAACGTGGCAGATGGAACATAATGTGGGAAAATGTGGGGTTATATGCTTTGGCAGGAAGAACAGAGGAGGTCAACATTATTTAAACGGAGACAGAAAGCAACAGTACTGTACAATGTACAGCATTTGTCAGACTTCATGCATAAATCACAGAATGTTGGTATCCAAGTTCAGCACAAAACAAGGAAGGCAATGGAATGTTGGCCTTTCTTTCAAATGGAATGGTGTATAAACATTAGGAAGTTTTGCTAAAACTGTACAAGGCACTAATCAGACCACAGCTGGAATACTGTGAACAGTTTGGGATGCTTATCTAAGGAAAGATATATTGGCATTGGAGACAGTCCAGAGAAAATTCACTTGGCTGATACCAGGTATGGGGGGGACTGTCTTATAAGGACAGGTTGACTCTACTGGGCCTGTAGTTGCTGGAATAAAGAAGAAAGAGAAGTGCCATTATTGAAATGTGACAAGGCTCTTAGGAGATGCAGAATGATTGCTTCCCCTTGTAGGAGAGTCTAGGACCACAGGACATAACCTTAGAATGGGGGCGGGGGGGAGGTCATATATTTAAGGCGGATGAGGAGGAATTTCTTCTCTCAGAGGGCAGTGAATCTGTGGAATTCTCTACCAGAGGGCTATTGAGACTTGTTTGTTAAGTATAACCAAGGCTAAGACAGGAAGATTATTAATCAGTAAGTGAATGAAGGGTTATGGGGTAAAGGCAGGAAAGTGGAGTCGAGGATTATCAGATCAGCCATGATCTCATTGAATGGTGGAGCAGACTTGATGGGCTGAATGGTCTATTTCTGCTCCTATGTCGTATGATCTTGCTACTGAGAAGGTCGTGGTGAGCTACCTTCTTGAATTGCCTTGGTCCTGTGGTGTAGTGACAATTAAAGTGCTGTTAGGAAGAGATTTTGACCCAGTGACACTAAAAGAAAAGTGGTGTAGTTTCAATTCTGGATGGTGAGTGACTTGGAGGCGAATTTGCAGATGTTGGTTTTCCCATGAATCTGCTATCTCTGTACTTCCAGGTTGTGGAGGTCCTGGGTTTGGAAGGTGCTGTTGGAACGGTGTGCCAATCAAGCAGGCTGCTTTTGCTTGGGTGGTATTGAATTTCTTGAGGGTGTTGAGCTGCATTCATCCAGGTTACACAATGAGTTCGCATGGTAGGTGAAAGGCTGGTGAGTGGAAGTGGGCATTAAGTTGGCATAAGGGTATGAGAGGTCATAGGGAACACTGGATGGGATAGGTGGGCAAGAGGAGTGTGTGCGGGTGAAGTCTGGTGGTGTGTTTTGTATTTCTCCTCTTGTGGAAAAATAAGGTCCTACTTCTTTGAAACTGGTTCCAGGACCCCATTAGTAGAGATAAAGGACTTTTAGTGGAAGCAGGACATGCTGTGGGGTTGTGAAAATGCATGCTTGTGCATTGAAAGTGCACAAACTCATTGAGACTGGCAAAGTCGTCAAGAAGCTGACAAGAGAAATGTAGAATTAAAAAACAGTAAGAGGTATTTCAGAGTGCCTTTTCATATAAAGCCATGAATGGACTTGTGCTGTATGACTGGTTCCCAAACTACCATTTTCACAACAGGCTATCTGTTGATGAACAGCAGTAACTGCTTATTGAATAGAAATTTATGTTGACATAAGGAATTAAACACTTATATAAGATGTTGGTGACATAGATATTAAGATCTTCAGAAAATGTTTATTTCCAAAAAGTATTAGTTGAAGCAATTTCAATGTATTGGGTGTTTTGTGTCTAAGTTTCTTTTAAATAATGACATTATAAATAGCCTGATAACTTTATCTTTAATCAGGATGCCTCTTGATTAATGTCCATGCTGGTTTACAGGTGAGTTGGCATTGACAGGGAAGTTTAAAGGATGCTGGGTGGGGTATAAGAGTTGGCATAGGGGATATAAAAGGCCATGGGGATAATTTGGGGCATATGGTATATGGGGGTGGGGGGTGGAAATGCAGGGGAGATGGAAAGTTTGATGTAGGGTGGTACAGGAGGTACAAGAAGCCAAGGTAGCTAGGTAGATTGGCATGGGTATATGAGGGACCATGAGTGGGTAGATTGGTATAGGAGGCACAGAGGGTATAAGGAGCCATGGGAGTTGGGTAGATTATCGTACAAAGTATGATGGGTAGAGGGGCACAGGTCAGATGGAGAATGAGGAGGTGACAGCAGGGAGGATGTTTTCTATTTTTTTAAGCTTTCATTTTTAAACTAAGAACACAGGACTGGAGTTCCCCAGCCTAGATTTTGCCCAGGAAGCCTCTTATGCTCTTCATGGGTCTCCCAGACCAATTCCCAATCCTGCTTCCACCACAGACTGGAAATCTGAACAACGTGACCATTTTCCCATAGACTTTTCCCGACACTACACAGCCAGGGATAAAAATCAGGTCACATTGCCTTCTGAGCTTGAAACTTAATAAAGGGTACTGCGGAGAAACCAATTTATCACAAGCAGGTGGGAACAGCTACTGTTTACTCTCTGCATTGTTCAGGAATGGCTTCTAACTTTGAACCATTTGTCTGGACAATAGCAAATGCTGGTCACATCATTGGTTTTTCTGAAGCCATTTGCAATCTGATTGCTCCAAGGATTAGCCAGAGACAAGTCAGTCTGGCACCTAACAGGACACAAGAGGGAACATTTCGCCAGAATCCTGCTGAACACCAATCAACCACAGCTATCAGAGATGGGCAAAGCTGTTTCCAGCTGCAATAGAAGACTGTCTGTCCCAGAGAAGCATGACTGTAACCTTGTCTGCACTTCAAAAACCCAGCGGAAATGACCCCCATCCAGGGTGACAGCTGCATCTTAAAGGCCCAAGGTAAACACAATTTTATTTTGTTATTCTATTCATAAGAGTTATCTTTAAAAATAATCTTTTCTTGTGTGTGTGTCGCAATGTTTGAGAGAGTTAGTGTCTTGTTACATCTCTGGTCTAGGTGTTGTGTGAAAAGTTTATTTTTCCATTTAAACTTATGATGAACTCTGTTTTGTGTCTATTATTAAAAGTCACAACACTCAAAGGAATTTCAAAACTTTTTCTAAAGACACCAAATCCTTGTTATCCATAGGTACAGACCTCTCGTGGATAACAAAAGAATGCAGACTCTGCTCCAATGTAACTCAAATCTACTAGGTAGGACTGTATGATCAGACTGGAACAGTCATTGGGCAAAGAAAAGGTAGGGTATGGGGTATGACCTTGTGGTACAGGATCCACGGATAACAAGGCCTGTGTGTGAACATCTGGTGACGAACCAAGAGGAGAAGGCAAAGTCGTCCCACCACCACTTTTTCCTGTCTGTAACGGGGATTGAGTGTGAAGTGCCATGGAAATAAACAAGGTTACTACCTCAGTGTTTCTGTAAGTGTGGATCATTGCTTCCAACAGCACATCGATTCTCTCTTGTCCAATTACCAAATCAAAGACAGTATTAACACCATAACCAGCTGCCCTCTAGTGGATAACAGCGCAATTACATCAGATTAAATACTACGAGGAGAAAATAGATTTCTAATTGTTCAAAATTGAGGTGAATCAACACTTCGGATAGGGAGGGACAAACATAACTAAAGACAGCTGCAAATGGTTGATAAAGCCCTCTTCAGATGTCACTGAGCCCAATGATAATTGAATGGAGAACATGCCCTTAATTGTCTCTTGAGCAGACATGGTCCATGAAATAAAATACAACTTGTAAAATGCAATCTAGAAATTATTGTTCCAAACGCTCATTCAATAAGTCAATATCAACCTGAACAAGCTGACACACTCACTGTATTCCAAAGGTACAAATTATAAATGTTTGATAGAAACTGTCAGTCTTCCTCAGAAGCTGTATAAAAAGTTTAATGACACTGAAAATATTTATATAAGTAAATCATTTGGAACAGCTAGTAAAAAAAAGTCAAATGTTAAATGGAACAGAACAGCCCTCTTACAAGGGATCCAAGGTTTGGTTTGATGTTTAACGTCTACATGACTTCAAGAATATTGCAAATGAAAACAATCTGTTTCGATAAGATTGTTTACAGTGTGCGGCTCATAAAGAAACAGATCTCCTGCCAAAGTAAATAGTGTCATTAGGATTC